TTTTGTGTCAATAGCACTCGATTGCTCTGGCGTGCCTTAATTCTAGTCCAATTAATTCAATTTCTGATCACGTAAAGTTTAATACTAATACTATTATGCAACAGCTGTTCGGGAAATTCTAATAAAAAAAGAGTCCAACAATTTAAGGAAAAAAATGGAAAATAAGCTATTGTTTGTATTACGATGCGTTAACAGTAGGGCCCCGTTAGTCTGCTTTAATGACCCACGCGGTTTTTGCAAATGCTTATGGTGATGTCATATCCCTACGGATCCTACTTATGTTCTATTGCTACAGATCTTATGAAACTCTAAGTAAACTACTTATCTCCTCAGTTCAAATTCGCGGATCCTCTGTTTGATGATCTTGCCTGGCACTAAAAAATTACTCTATCCGTCTCCTAGGCGTACTAGGAGTTTGTCCAATGATCACAGATGTTATCAACTTGCGATTTGAAGAAGAAGAAGAAGAAAATGCTCTTATCAGTTCGTCGAAACCTATGTCTGATATGATCGGCAATGCCAATCGGTTTTCAATTACATTTGACGTCAGCCGTTAAAAATCTCCCTTTATCGTTTTTTTTTTTTCAAATGCTCTTTTGAGCAAAGGACCGCTCAACAATTTTGTGCAGGTTAGTAGTGATCGGAAGAAAACGAACTCTTGCACGAACTTGCATGCGTTAGCACTCCCCGTATGCGTGCTTTCAACGTATCGTGAACTGGTCTTGCCGCTTCGGTGGTTGTATACAAAAGCGATTGTGTTCTCATTCCCCCTTTTCGGCGAAATTGTAAATGTTTTTTTTTTGAGTAACAAATTGTTCAAATCGGTTTGAAAAATGAAACGTAAGATTATTTTGTTGGTAAATCTTGAGTTCTTCCGGGATCTTCCAAAACATTGGAAGGCCATGCAAAACAAGGAATCATTTCCTTAGCTTTGTCGTATATCCTTTTTGTTGTTTAAAAATATGAAAATAATTTTTGATGCATATTAAAACTTCAAACCCTTAAATTATTAAATCTGTTCATTTCTTTGATGTGAATTAAGAAACGTTTTTGTATTTTCAGCAAACCCAACGGAATATTAATTCTAAATAATGACATATGTCAATATAATTACTTTATGCCAGTATCGTTGTAATTATTCGCAAGAAAATGTCTATTTCATTGGAAAACGTATGAATTTTTCATATTGTTACGTGGAAAATGGTCCTTGTAAACAGAAGTAACCCAATGTTTATTGCATTATTTGCTAAAAATAATACACCCACTGTTAATAGGAATTTTATAATATTAGGTGCTTTACATTTATCGAGAAAAATTGGTACAATGTACATCCAATTCTTTTTACACGGCAGATGCGTTCCTTTGAAATCTGCGCAAAAAAAATCTTATATAAAAATAAATGTTGTATATGTTAAATTTGAAAATATTTTCCAGAACCTTAAAAAATCGTGTGAGATAGAAAACTCCAAATATTTTCCCAAAAAACCGCGCAAAAAAAGTAATAATAAAGTCCATATTATACATTTATAAAACGAAAACCCTTAATTTTTATTGCAAAAAAAAAAATTAAAACAAGTAATAACATTAAGGTCGGACAAGACCGACCTTTATATACCCTACACAACATTCTCTATCACAATTATTATTATTACTCTAGAAAACAAAAGTTACATCTTGTTTTTATATGAAGGCATATTTTTCAAATGCGTGTTTATGGGGACCACCCAAACGCAACCTAATGTAGTACAAGTTTGATGCTTACCAAAAATAGACGTAGATAGTAAAAATTTTGTCGAGTCCATTTTTATATGAATTTACTTTATTATTATGGGTCAATATTCATCGCCAAATATGGAAACTTAGACTTTTCTGGTCTACAAAGAATCAATTTTCGTGAAAATCCTTATTAGCGAAGAATCCAAATGTTAGGGCGAGACGGGCCAAATTTTGTACAGTCAATTTTTTTATGTTAAATTACTATTGTTATATAATTTTCATCAATAGGCATTGAAAATTTCACCCCTTTGTCGTATGAACTTTAGTTTTTGTTATAGGAGAGGGGGTTCAAAAGAGGATCGATCCAAAGTTTTCATACGAATTTCAAACGCACAAACACTACTATTTAGTCACTTTTGCCGAAAAGTTTTCAAAACTGAAATTTTTTTTCACATAACAACTCTTCAAAATAGGGCCCTATACGGGGACCGACCCGATTAATTTTCAATACCTTTCGTTTTTGATGAAAGCACGTCAGTGTACCAAATTTCACCGAGACATCTTAAAAATTCTATCTTATACATGGAAACATATGCACAGACATCAGAGGGACGGACGGACAGGCAGGCTTAGATCAATTCAGATAATGATTATGAATCGATCGGTATAATAAGAGCAAGGTCTATCTCAAGCCCTTCTGCGTGTTAGATACGACCGCACTAACATAATATAGCCAACACTTCTACAATAAGAAGGGGGTATAAACAATGTAGAAGGCTGATAGACAAGCTGTAAGTTGCAAGCTGTAAGAACAAAATTAAAGACAAGCTTATAGCTAAGATTTCCTCTGTCAGTCTGTTCGACATGTTTTTTTGTGCTTCTATACGCTTCTCTTTTGACAACCAAGCTCTAAGCTATAACAGATCAGCACCTAATTCCAAATTGATCGGCGTAATAATTCTCAAGGTCAACCTCAATGCCTTCTACGTATTGCATTCATCAATGCATACTTAACACATCCTTCTTCTTCAAGCGGTGTAGTGGTGGGTAAAAATTTCACGAAGTTTTTTCTTGACCTAATTTAAGAGACAAGTTAAAAATATGAAGCTTTAGTGTCTAAACTATTGTAACTTTAAACTCATCAGAGCTCAAACAAATAATTAAATTTTTTCACTCCAAGAATAGATGCATCCTAAGAGTAGACATATATACATACATATATATTTGTAGAATGTTAAGTGGATATAATAGTAGTAATAGATAACAAACAATGCAAAACTCCCCGGGATAAGAAATGAAAAGATACATAAATGATCAAAGATTACATGTTGGCATAGAGCCAATAAAAAAATTTGCACAAATACCTAACAGCACAGGCGGAGTGACGGATGAGAGAGGGCTCATCTTTTTCTCAAACTTTACTCCGAAAAAAGCAAAAAAAGAAAACTACATCATACATACACTAGTAACTTACTATAACTCAACAATTGTTGTTAAGCTACCAAGACTTGTCTTGTGCTATTCTAAAGGTTATGAATGAAGTAAACTAACGTTTGCGAGAAAAACTTGAAATTTGTTTATAAATAACTATGTTTTCAGTATTGCTCTTTCAAAAAAAAGAAATAAAAGGCAATTATTTTATTTGGTCTTTAAGAGAAAACCTTTAAATTTAAACAATTTTATGTTGTCGATATTTATTGTTGATATCGGTTTAAATATTTTTCTTTTTTAAAGTTCATTGCAAAAATATAACGATTTCTCAAAATAAAGCGTTGCACGGGAAGTAGTCGAATTATTATACACTACATCGTTTGTGGTGCAGGGTATATTAAATTTATGCGAACGTATGTAACACTCAGAAGGGCTTAAGATAGAGCTACCTTTTAAATCGATTGATTGCAGCGATTGACTCAGTGAATGATTATGAATCGATCTCAGTGCCTGTCCATCTGTCTGTCTGCTTGTTCGTCTGATTTTTGTTCATGTAAATTTTTTTCAAGCTACAGGGCGCAATTCTTCAGAATTCTTTTGTTGAAATTTGATGCACTAACGTGTTTTGGATCAAAGGCACTTTTTCGCCCACTTCCCATATACCCTCATTATACAGAAAAAAATTACATATTTCCAAAATTTCTCGACAAAAATGGTGAAGTGATTGGTTTGAAAACTTTCCACCGGTTAGCGTAATTTTTTGAACCTAAGCAAAAAGGGCTAATTTTCAATGCTTTATGATGAAAATCATATAATAAGGTAAAAAAAATAACTAAACCAAATTTGGTTAATATCAGCCTATTTTTCGACTCCTACTGACTTTATAGGGCAGAAAAGTGTAAGTTTTAATATAATCTGATGAAAATTAACCAATAATAGTAATTCGATATAAAAGTTAACTGTGCATGTACCTCACTTTTTGAATCTCTTAGGCACAATGTTCTTACGAAAAGTAAGCCATTATTTGCAAAGAGGTTTAATTTTCAAAATACATTTCCGTAATACCAAGTTCATTTAAAAGTAAGGTATAATTTTTATGTTCTATGTCAAAATTGTTATGGATGATGTGGCATAGGGTATTTAATAGTCGGCCTACACCACTTGTTTTCAATAGGGTATGTTCTTGGACCACATTTAATTCAAATATCTCAAAAATTGCAAGCCGTATCGTAAATACGAGAAAGTAAGACAGACAGACGGACAAAGGAGCTTAACTTGATTCTGAAGTAATCGCTATCATAAGAGGTGGGTCTGTCTCAAGCGCTTCTCTATCTTGGATACATTCATACAAAAACTTAATGTATCGTTGTAACACAAGTGATGTAGGGTATAAAACAGTCTTCGATCGTGCCTCTTAAGCCTAAACATAGCAAACTCTCAATATTTTGCTGCTTGTATGTTGAACACGGGAAAAGGGGACAGCCAGAAGATCAGGTGGACCGACGCACCGACAAGTTGAAAATGTTATAGGGCATAATAAAACAAAAAAAAAAAAGAATGCTTTCTTTCTATTTAAAATTTATTTTAATTTTTTCTTTTATTTAGCGTACATTTTATGAAAAATTTCACACACGAAAAAAGTGAAATTTTTTCTAAGCTTAAGTAGGAATTCCATAGAAGATGCATACATTTCACATTATAATCCATTAAGTTTAATAATAATTTTTAAAATATAATTGAGAATAACTGCCTTTGTCATGTGCAGATAGGTGTTATTGTGCATACAATATTCATACACACATATATGCATACAAAATACCTATATACATATTATTACATATGTATACATATACATATATATATATATATCTCCCATGCATATGAATGGTGACGCACTCTCGTGAAGCGTCCAAAATTACAATACAATAGAAAAGCCTTTCGGATAACTAAGTTGTTGTAAGCTTTAGGTATAATTTTTAAATCACTTTTGTATTATTATTATTATTATTATTATTATTATGAGTCTTGATATTGTTGTTTTTATTGTTGTTATCATTTCATTAGTCAAGTGATTGTGTTAAGTGCTTTTTGTATTCAAATGTAATTTAAGCGTTTACCCAAATTCTCATATAACGTTACATAAATTAATGCAGACCATACCGCTAATAAAATAACTAAAGAGATATGACATATGAGAACAGAAGGAAACATAGATATGATGGAATCGGTGTGGAACATAAATTTGAATAAATATTAATTTAAATGTCACAGAGCGAGGGTACGAGATCTTTTATGAGAATATTATTTTCATTTATTCCCCAACACGGTAGCCATTGCGTTGCGATAATACCGAATCTGGATTTTTCAATTCCATTGCCAATTTATAGCCCAATTCGGGGCGACGATCACGACCTTCAGCCATAGCTTTAATCTAAAATTCAAAGTTATATGTACGCATGTCTTAGAGAGAACTTTGCAAAATGCATCAATTACGGCATACCTCATTCGATTGAACGATAACACCATGACTGCTAACCACTTTCTCCTTAGTGTTTTCAATATCTTTGAAATCGGTACCACGGCAGCAATCATCGATCAAAATGGTACGATAGCCCACCGAAAGAGCATCTACAGCTGTTGCTCCTTGAATGTTTAAAATAAAAAGTTAATTTAAAAAAGATGTTTCTATTATTGCTCACATACATACCCACGCATACGTCATAGGCGAGACCGCATACATATATGTCCGTAGTTCCTTTCATTTTCAATTGAGCATTTAACGTAGTATCAGAAAGTTTTTTATTGTCCCAAAATACTGAATACGAGTCCACTTCCGGATTAGTGCCCTTATATACTTTGATGCCATTATCCATTACTTTGAGATCTTTATGCAACTCAGCGCCCCAAGAGTCTTGGACACAATGACGCGGCCATAGACGTTGCTTCATGGGAGGAGGGCCAGCAAAGATGACAGTATCAAATACTTGAGCCGAATCGGCATCAATCTTTAAAAAACGACGAATAAATTAAAAAAAAAAAACAAAAGAAGAAAAAACATATTCTTACAGGCGATGTTTCATCTAAAGGTCTCATTTTAACATTATCTATAAAGGATACATGATCACTGGGATGCCAATCCAGTGAATAGAACACCGCATCAAAGTCCACAGTATCTAAGAGATTGTTGACAGGTTCCAATATCTAAAATAAATAAAAAAACGTGCAAAATTACACAGAATATATATATAGTGAACCAGAAAGTTGGAATAAGAGCGGGGAGTGAAAGCTACCTAGAAAGAAGACTCTATTCGCCTTAGGAATAAGTTAGGGAACTTTTTGCCTGTATCGCCATCACCTTAGCCTGACTGGCGTTACCTTCGCCTAGATTATTTGCATGACCGCATGAACACACACTTTCAAACCCCTCAGCAGACGCTATGACTCGCTAAGTTATGATACAAAAGGTTTAGACACTTCGGAGACAAGGGAACCGTACAGAAGCACAAAAAACATATCGAACAGACTGACAGAGGAAGTCTTAGTTATAAGCTTCTCTTTAATTTTGTTCTTACAGCTTGCAACTTACAGCTTGTCTATCAGCCTTCCACATTGTTTATACCCCATTCTTATTATAGAAGTGTTGGGTATATTATGTTAGTGCGGTCGTATGTAACACGCAGAAGGGCTTGAGATAGACCTTGCTTTTATTATACCGATCGATTCATAATCATTATCTGAATTGATCTAAGCTTGCCTGTCCGTCTGTCCGTCTGACATCTGTCCATGTAAACAGGTTGCAATTTTTGACATATTTTGATGGAATTGGGTGTACTGAAGAAGGACACGCGCTATTGAAAACGGTTCGGATCGATCAATCCACTTTTTCGACAACTACCCATACAAGGGCTTTTCAAAATAAGGCGAAAAAATGGCATTTCTTCAAATTTCTTGGCAAAAGTGGCTGATTGGTAATGCTTCGGCATTCCAAATTGGTGTGAAAACTTTCGGGCGGCTGTAGAAATTTTTTGAACCCCCTTCCATATAATCGTTCCTACGAAAATTGAAGCTTTTCATGCTAAAAAGGTCAAATTTCCAATATTTCATGGTGAAAATTAGCTCGTAAAAGTAAATTGACAGAAAATGTATCTTACCGAATTTGGACCAACTAGGTTCGCTGCTTATAAGGATTCTTAGGAAACCTTAAACCAAGAAGGTCTAACAGTCAATGGTTTGTGATGCAAATTTGATTGTGATAGTAATTAAATAAAAAAAAAATTAAGTGGACCTGATTTGAACCAAATATGTCTATTTCTTGGTCCCCCTCCATGTAAAACATGTCTTGAGTAGTAGGCTTAATTTCTAATATTTCATGATGAAAATTAATTCATAGTAGCGTTTCAGCAAAAAAATTAACGTTAGGGAATTTGGACCATATAGGTCTATTGTTTTTGGACCCCACTATATATATATATATGTAGGTGCTATCACGAAACGCAAACTCTTATATCGGGAGATGCTCTAACCATCCACCATCCAGGCTTTCAGGACAATTATCGCTTTGCGTAAAAACACTGCGTACTCTTTGGAAACATTTGGATAACTGTGCTAGACGAAATGGTGTAGGGTATTTAATAATCGGCCCTGCCCGATTATAATGTCTCTACTTGTTTTATAATAAACGAGACGCCTAACGAGTTACGGCTCCAAGTTAGAAAGGAGAATAAGTATGAGACATCTCCCATAAGGGAGAAATGCGGTTCGGAGTTTCCTGCCAAGTCTGTTTTTTACAGACGTAATTTAGTCGACATAGCACATCTAGTTCGCAACCTATCGCAACCACCACGGAATTCTCCAATGTGGGCTTAACAAGTGCAGTAAGCAACCTCTTACTAATATAAGAGTCGTTACATACGTAGGACCAACGTCTTACAAATCTTAGCAGAGGTTTCACTTAGTTAAAGGAGGCTTAGACTTGCAACCTAAAACTTAATTTAGAATCAAACATAATCACCAAAACCATGAAGTTCGAAACAGAGTCCACCTGATGGATATCAATATAATAGCCCATAGCTTTCCCGTCGTTTTCTCACCGTAGTTACCATTCCGTTATTACATCCTTTTGTGAAGTTATTTTTACTCCGCAAATCTTATTGTTGTACTTGTTGGGTCTTTTTTTTACCGTTGCAATGGCTCGGATGACATTATGATTTACCCAACATAAAAGTGCTTCGAATTGCAGCGACCAGTTTATATGAAGAATGCATCGAAATTTTTAAATCTGTTCCCAATATTGTTTCAATCATTTAAAAATTGCCAAAGTGCATGTGAATGGACGGCATTGAATTGCATGCTCACACAATGGACAAAAGTATTATACAATATCGAAGCGATATTAAAGGAAATACACCATTTCCTTCTTTCGGTAATACTTGATTTCCTCTTCAAAAGCGCTTAAGAGAAATTGGCAACAAGGTCGGAAACACTATCTATAACATATGACAAATATTAATACCATTAAAAAAAAAAAAAAAAAAAAAACACGGAAAAAAACCACAAGAATATTTACTGCTTATAGATACTAACTAATTGTGTGTGTGGCACATATACATATTTACATGCATATGTATACGTATTACACTTGAATATTGTACGGAAGCGATGCGTATAAATAAAGTATAAACATCCGTATTATTGCCGTTGTTATGATAAAATTTATTTGCCCTTCTATCTCCTTTCTTTTTTTTTCTCCCCCTCACTTTCTATCTGTTCCTTCCTCCCTCTCTCACTCTCATCCTTTCTATTTTGCTCTATATACAAATTCAAACTTGTATTATTCAGATTTTCAGAAGTCATAACATTACAACAACGTACGCCTATACATATGTTACATAAACATATCTATTTATAAAAATTTCCTAAAAAGAGCCTTGCGTAGATTGCATGTTACATATATTATATATTATATATATATATATATGCATATATATATATTGCATATTACATATATATATATATGTGTAAAATATAACTGCATCCGATGTCGCTTGCTCTTAGATATAATAAATTTATTATTAAAACGTTACTCACCTCATGTCCTTTCTGCTGTGCACTGCAATTACTTATATCCAGAGAACCACTTATAAAGTCATTTTGTACATCAACAATGAGGAACGCGTTCACAGGACGTACAATCTGTAAAATGAGGAGAATAAGAATAGCAATCTTAAGTTATGCACATTTCACTGTTAAATGATTTCAAGGATTCCTTCATAAACATAAAATCAAAATAAATTTATTTGGAAAAAAAATATTTTGCTTTGGCTTTTTCTTTCCTTTTAAAGCAATTCAACTGTCATGGAAAGGCGCTCACTTTGCCAATAAACTAGAAAATTGTTTACGGTTAAAAAAGCACATACACGCGCACACCACTATATATATTGTACGTATACATATCAAGTGATTACGTGAGTTAGTTTTTATGTTAAGATAATAAATTTTATTTCAAAATATCGCAATCGTATTGCTAATGACGAGTCGTCAGTGATTCTGCCAATCACTACATCTTTAAATTTCCAAGATATATATTATTCGCGTTATTTACTCTTCAATTTAACAGAGCTTTATATGTTTGAACAAGTGCTACAAGTACTACGATGCTAAACTGCTTGAATAAATAATATCTTAAAGCTCTTTAGCTCAGCTAAAATTTTGATGTCTTTGTTAACTTGAGCACCACATTTTTCCGATAAATAGTTTTTAAAGAAAAATTTCCTACAAATGTGATCTAAACAAATAAGAGAATTAATTGTATTCTGACCGCAAGCGAACCGTCATTTTAAACAAATAAGAACATTATAGTCGAGCAAGGGCGACCATGAATAAATTTTCATTATAACACATTAACAATTGGACCCTTTTAGTAAATAATATTTTTGTTCTTTCTGAGAATTCTTATGTGCGGCGGCATTCAAAAAATTAATTTACAGTAAAATTAATTTCTTTATCAATTTTCTATTATGAACCAATCTTACCCATGATATATTGAAATACCATATAAATATTCAGTTTTCGTAGGAACACTTGTATGAGTGCTTTTCGCACCGAGTTACGATATCGAAATACTATTAGTCATCAACTTTTGGTCGAGAAATTTTGATAATTGCAAAATTTTTTTTCATATAACGACTTTTCAGAAGAAGACATTATATGTGGAGTGATAGAAAAAGTGGAGCGATCCGAACCATTTTCATTAGCGTTCGTTTTTGGGTTAAAGCATGTCATCAGAATATCTCAAAAATTGCAATCGGAAGCTTGAACACAAAAATACATGGGCGGACGAACGGACAAACAGCCTTTGAATCAGAATCCCTTTCTGTTATAATAAAAGGTGGGTGGGTCTAGTTTAAGCCTTTCGGGCTGTTCGGGCTTACGTAGATACGAAGTTAACACATATGGTGTACGCTAAAACGAAAAATTAAATTTCCCTACTTTATCACGATTTATATTGCACTGTGGGTGCGCCTTTTTAGTGATTTAACCCATTTTCAAAGTCTATTTCCGCGTGATAATTGCTAATATTTTTGCCCAATTTGAAGCAGATATCTGCAGGTAAGAACATGTAGAGTTTATGTGGAGTCTGAAATTCCTTTTGTTTTGATAAAAGCATGAAATTTCAATATTAGTTAATAATCAATAGGCGTGGCCTACTTTTTTTCGCATTTTTCTACACGTATAGCAGGACTACTCTTAGAATATAACTGCAAAATCACCGAAGGACAAGGGTCCGGCTGTCCGGCTGTCCGTCTGTCCTTCTATGTAATATTCATTATAAACATTCTTTTGGCCGCAAGAATGAAGCTATCGACTTCAAATTTTGCTGAAACATTGGAAGTTCTTGCACGCACGTTGATATAGAAGATGGGCCAAATCGATCGAAAGACACGTCCACAGCACCACGTGAACTGACAACACCTCTGTTTTTCAAAAAGAATAAAAAATTGGTCTTTTGCTCATTGCTCACAGACTATACAAAAATTTGAACCCATATTCTATGAGCGTGCTGTAGCACCTGTGCAAAAATGGAAATTGACTCCGCCTACCCAATATTATAGTGCATCAAAATTAAATTTTTTTTTTCAATACCTTTTCAGAAACCCTATAAAGTATGTAAACTATTGGCAGGTTTCAAATTTGGAATGCATCTAAACACGTCCCTCTGTTCGTCTGTCCATACTCTACCGTTAGCGAAAATGAAGAAATCGCGTACAAATTTGCAAAAGAATTTGGGAGTAACTTGAACTTTTCCAAGGACCAACCTATAAGGACCACAAAAACTTTCAATTTGTAAATAGAAAAAAACCAATCTGGCCGATCCAATATTATAAAGCATGAAAATTTTGGTTTTTTAATTCTCTTGTCTCTTTTAAGATAACGTTGATGGGTGTAAGAGATTCGTCCCGAAGGAATTTAATTTTCTTACTTGTTCTCTTTTCTCTTGGTCTTTTTTAGAGCAACAGTGATGGGTATAAAAGATTCGATCACGACCGCATATAATATTCTTATTATTTTTTTTTTTTTTATTTCTTAAGTTAAGTTGACGAGCCATTTGCTGTATTGCCAGTGTATATCATTGATTGCTTTTGAATCAAACCAATTTCTACGACATGTTCATGGTATTACACAGATACGGACTTGGATATTATTCTAAAGTTGGTAATAAGTAGAAATGGTTGCTGTAGTGGAATTGCCTATGGTTGGTATTGATTTAATCTATTTTTTTTTGTATTTTTTAATAATGGACAGGAAATTAAAGGAAAGCGGTAATGCGTTTCGCGAGCGTTTTTGAAGGAAAACATTAGATTAAATTGATTATTTTAGCTTCTTTCGACAACACACTGAAGCCCATAAAATATTCAACGTTCAATATTTTTTTTTTTTAATATGACTAATCACTTAGGTGATGTTCTTTATATATGCGCAGCATGGTTATGGTCATAAAGAAGAGAGGAAAGAGAAATAAACCCAGAGTGGTCCAAGTGAGTCGTACAGTTACAACCAAGCATGATCATACCGACGTGAGATTTGAACCCGCTAACACCGACCCGGCAGTAGACACTCTTATATACTTAGGTGATATGTCTTAAGCGGAATAACTATCGAATTAAATTGTGTAAAAATATCATACGTACTTCTATCAGATTCGCATCTAGAATAGCGCAGGATCAGATGTTCCGTATTATGCACGATGCAACATAGATGACATCTATCAAAAGAATTAGAGGTAGGAGTAGGATATACGTGGCCATTAAATCGCTTATTAAGGGCCTTAGTATCTTTTGGGTCAAGGTCAACCTCGTGCTAATACACTTTATTAGGAATTGGAGGAAAATTATCCTTTGTCTAATGGAATTAGAACACCTTGCGGATAACATGGAGTGCATCGTGTGCAATTTAATTTAGGACTCACTAGAGCTCATAAAAATTGTTAGCTAAAATTGGACAATCCAAAGATTTGTGAGTAGTACGCAATCTTATTCGTGTCGTCAGATATATTACACCAAACATAATCTACTGGTAAAAATCTCTCAATATTTTTTCCCAAAGGCAATATAACACATATATCTACTACATGCTTACATATGTATATCACAAATGAGGATTAACTTGTGTATGCATCCTTGTATATATTCATCATAGCAAAGATTTTTTTCTTTTTTATGTAAACTAATTTTGGAAACGGAAATTATTTCAGTACCAACACATAAGCATAGACACAAAAAAGTGCACGAACGTGAGACAGACATATGAAAATACATCTACGTAAATCTGGCCTACCATACCTTTAAAAGCAAATGTAAAGAAAATTGCATGACTGCCTTGCTACATATAGTGCGTCCAAGTGTCTAGAATCTGCTACAGATTGAAAAACTTATACGATTTAACATTAACTCTATGTGGCGTTTGCTAACGTTATTACATTCAAAGGCAAGCATGTAATAAAGTTTGTCATTTCCTTTGCAACTTCAGACAGCTAGTGCAATGGATGACGACCGTAACGAAATGTCGAACAAAATTCAAAAGTAAACTGAGTTTCGCTCTCAACTTTGTAGCTTTCGCAAAACGAGCCAAAGTTAAGCACAAAGTTTTGATTGATTATTTAACTTCAATAGTGATTGAGCTTTTCCTTGTTCCTCTGGATCAAAATCCAAGACGATTAATTTCAGGTTCATTGTATCTATTATCGGTATAAAGGCTATCACATGGGCAAGTAATTAGGAACAAAGGATATTTCGACCAATAAGTCTTGCAATGCATTGTTTTCGAATTTTCTTGGTTCTCCAACTCGTCCATTGACATTAAAATCACCACCAAGAAAGGTCAAAATCATCGCATTTGAAAGTTTTATTTTGCATTACTTTATCATTTTCACCAGCAGTTGTCGCTGATCAAAATACATGCAAGCTCCTATGGTCATAATAACAATAATTGTAAAAATAAAATTTCACTTCTATAGACGAAAACAAGACGAAATATTACTTAGCTAGTGATTATGTCCACTCTTAAGAATCTTATATCACATTTTACTTCATGAGGTACTGATATATTTTAAAGTCTTTGCACCAGCTTTACATCAGACTCAATATAATATTAGTAGTCGGCTTTACTGGTTGGGGAAAAGCAAGAAAAAAAGAGTAAAACTTTGTTTCGCTTGGCTATCGGAGTTAATATCCATAGAATTTCATGCGTAAATTGATTTAAATAATTGTTCCACTCAATTATATCGGCTTGAAAAACAATTATACCTATAAAAATTAACTTTTTAGTGCATGGAAGTTACGATCGCGTCAATGTTCTGTAATTTTTTTTTTTTCTTTTTTTTTTTTTTTTTATATGTATAATCAATCGCTAAGGGGATATCTCCTATTCGTGTAATACGACGATCGTCAGACAGAAGGAAGGAAAGAGATAGAAATAGAGAGATGGTGGCCACCAGGTGACCTCATGAACAATCGCCTTTATCGACTGAGCACTCACTATAGCTGCAACCAAAGAAAACTCCACTGCACTTGAGACTTCAAGCGACGAACACTGAGTTGGTAGGTTAACGGTTCTTATCTACTCGGTTATTCCAGCGGATATTAATGCAAACTGCCAGGCAACGTGCGAAATAAACGAGTTATGGCAAAGGAAGT